GAATTAATTTGAGTTCCAAATTTCCACCACCATTTGAGCAATAGACAAGCATTTACATCTTTGATTCTTCTAATGCCTAGGCCCCTTTGATCAAGGCTTTTTGTTGCCACCCCCCATTTTACTAAGTGAACTTTCTTTTTAAGGCCATTTCCACCCCATAAAAAGGCTGCTTCAATCTTCTCAAATTCTTTGGCCACACCTTTTGGCATTTTAAATAAAGAGAGAAAATAAACAGGTAGACTATTCAAGGTAGACTTGATTAGAGTTAGTCTACCTGCAAAAGACAACAATTTTCTCTTCCACCCTGAAAGTCTGAATCTGATTTTATCAAGCACAAGTTTCCAAGTAGACTTTTTTCCAGGGTTGGCTCTAAGAGGCAGACCTAGAAATTTTATAGGTAAGCTATGAACTTGACAATTGAGAAGCTTAGCAAAAGAGAGCAAAACAGCATCATCCACACCAACACCACACACCATACTCTTGTGGTAATTAATTCTAAGACCAGATAAGACTTCGAAGCATCTTAGAATTCGTTTAATAAGCACCAACTGATCCCAATCTGCTTCAGAGAAGAGAATTGAATCATCTGCAAATTGCAGATGAGACAAAAGAACATTCTTAGACCCAACTTGCACCCCATTAAGTATGTCAAGATTAATTGCTCTGCCCAAAAGGATGTTTAAACCTTTAGAAACTATATTAAATAGAAAGGGTGAGAGCGGGTCGCCCTACCTAAGACCTCTTTGTGGAGAGAATTCGCTTGTTGGTGAGCCATTCACAAGAATGGAGATTCTGGCTGTAGAAACACAAGTTTTCATCCAAGAAATCCATTTAACCCCAAATCCAAAGTTGTTCATCAGAGAGAATAGGAATTCCCAGTTAACGGAATCAAAGGCTTTCTCGAAGTCTATCTTTAAAATCAGCCCATGCTTCTTGGATTTCTTCCATCCATCAACCACTTCATTGGCAATGAACACCCCATCTAAGATGTTCCTCCCACCTATAAAAGCAGTTTGTGTTTCACCAATGATTGAAGGAAGAGCTAGCTTCAGCCTATGTGATAATACCTTGGCCAGAATTTTGTATAGAGAACTTACAAGATTGATAGGCCTGAAGTCTGATAGACCAATGAGATTTTCCACCTTGGGAATTAGACTAATAAAAGTGCTATTGATGCCATAGGTCAGCTTGCTGTTCCTGTGAAAGTCTGCAAAAAATTGCATGATCTCAGGCTTTATGACCTTCCAAAATTTCTGATAGCACAGCAAGTTAAAACCATCAAGGCCAGGAGCTTTGTTGCTATTGCAATCCTTGATTGCAGCCAATACTTCAGCTTCTCTGAAATCTGAGACCAGGTGTTGAGAAACATAATCTGCCTCAATGGTCTTGAAAGCCCCGCCCAAGACAGGTCAATTAGCCCAATCCTCAGCATACTGTTTCCTGAAGTGTTGATTGACCTCAAATTTAACCCTGCTAGGATCTTCATAAGACTCCCCATTAACTTCAATAGAGTTAATCATATTCCTACTCTGCCTGACATTGGAAAAAACATGGAAAAACCTAGGGTATGTTTGGTTTGTGTTTGAGAGGCAATCCTTGATTGCAGCCAATACCTCAGCTTTACTGAAATCTGAGACCAGGTGTTGAGAAACATAATCTGCCTCAATGGTCTTGAAAGCCCCGCCCAAGACAGGTCAATTAGCCCAATCCTCAGCATACTGTTTCCTGAAGTGTTGATTAACCTCAAATTTAACCCTGCTAGGATCTTCATAAGACTCCCCATTAACTTCAATAGAGTTAATCATATTCCTACTCTGCCTGACATTGGCAAAAACATTGAAAAACCTAGTATTCTTGTCTCCATTTATAGTCCAATTCAATCTGGATTTTTGATGCCAGATCCATTCCACCATTCTGTACAGCTTCCACATCTCTCCTCGAACCACTCTTCTTTTTGCCATTTCAACTTCAGCCAAAGGTCTTCCTTCTGCCAAGATGTCTAATGCATGTAATTCCTCCTCTAAAACTTTGAGTTTGGAAGAGACATTACCAAACACCTCAACATTCTATTTCTTTAATTGTAGCTTTAAATGCTTTAATTTGTGTACAAGAATGTAGCCAGCCCATCCATAAACCGAGATGCTGCTCCAGGTATTCACAAAGAACTTGGAGAAGTTTGGATGAAGAGACCAGGCATTTAGGAACCTGAAGGGTCTAGGCCCCCAATCTCTTTAATCCTCCATCATCAACAGAGGACAGTGATATGAAATTAATCTAGGCAGCCCCCAAAGCTTCATTCTGAAATTAATCAACCATTCTGGACCAAGCAGTACTCTATCTATACGGCTCCATTTCTCAGACTCCTGGGCATTACACCAAGTGAATGTCCTTCCATGCAGAGGCAGATCATTAGGCTCACATTTCTCAATGAACTCTTTGAGGTGTTTCATCCCCCTATCCCTTCTGGAGTAGCCTATCCTTTCACCTATATGTCTGATTTCATTGAAGTCTCCACCCATACACCATGGAGCAGGGAAATGATCTTTAAGCTTAAGAATATCAACCCATAAAGATGATCTAGCGCTGGTATCATTTGGTGCATATATGTTAATCAAAACACAGTCAAAAGAGTTATACAGAGAGCCAAAAAGCAAGATGTACCTTCTATTACAACAATAGCTAGATAGTTGGAAGACAGCAGGGTCCCAAATGCATAGTAGCCCACCAGCAGAGCCTTCAGGATCCACAGACATGTAATCCATATTTTTGCACCCCCAAAGCCTTCTAACAACATTATCCGAATCCACTGCTTTCTTGATCTCTTGAAGGAAAATAATGTCCACATGCTTGTCCTGAATAAGACTTTTATTCTGCCCATCTTCTCTGTTTTACCCAAACCCCTAATATTCCAAGATAGTAACTTCATAAGTAAACAAAGTGATACACTTACATCACCCATCTATAGGATTCTATTATTGAGCCTTCCCTTCATTGGTGATTCTCTCTTGATCCTTGAGCTCAAGGTCAATTATCTTGCTCAATACAACATCCTCTTCCTCATTGTAGTTGATACCCAATGATTTTCCCAAATGTAAAGTAGCTTTGGCTTCTTCAAGAAGACAATTGTTCGAAGAAGAACTGCTTTAAGATAAATCAGATTTTCCTAAAGTAGATGCTGCTGGTCTGAAAATGATGGACTTAGAGGAATGCTTATGTGCTGCTGCAGATCTAAAGCCCTGAAATCTAACAAAGCTATTGAATCCCTCGATATGGGTCTTCTTATTTCCTTTTTTTCCTCACTGTTTGCAGGTATTCTGAATTAGGGACAAGAGACTTGACCTGGGCTGAGTGGTTAAGATGTAGTAAACTGATTCCATTTGACCCTGCCTTGTTTGAAGGCCTAGCAGGTTACAAATGGGTCGAAAGGCCAAAGGACCTGTTAGGTGAATGAGCCAAGTTGACCTCCAAGTTAATATCAGGCCCAATACCAGGCCTAAAAACTTTATCAGGTTCGTTTGCTAAAAAGACTTCCAAATTTATACCAGGTCCAAAACCATCTCTAGATACACCAGGTAAAGGAGCTTGCTGAACACACCTTAAGTTGCCATCATTATTATTTGAATTTTTTGAATTTTGCTCTGACCCTTCCATCAAAGTCCTCTCAACGCATGCCTCCTTTGTCCTGTTGGAGTCTCTTTCACAGAAAGTCTCTTCAACAACAGTGCCTATTTCCTCACCTATGTGACTGCCAGTAGGCTCTTTCTGTTGCACAAGCTCTTGTGTACAAGCCAGGTTAGCTCCTGTTGGAGCTCTCATTTCTGCCACCTCATCCCCATCTGGTTTGTTCTTGACAACTGCCGCTGGGATGTTTCTACCTGCCACACTGTAGCTGGTTCCGATGAAACTGGGTTCATCCATGCTTGATAGTTTCAGACCACCAGAATCTGCTAAGTGGTCTTCACATACAAGAACGAGATAAGAATTGCCCTTGCACTCCACAAGTATGGTTTTGTTGATGAGTTCCATACACATAATAGCAACTCGGATTCTAGTGTGGGAGAAGGTTTTAGGATGACAAATATCACCATCTAGGCTGAGAACGGTACCCCCAATGCTCCCAATGCTATTAAGTGTAGTCATATTCCAGAGATGTAGAGGTATGCCATGGCACCTCAACCAAGCACACCTTTCCGGCTGCAGATGAAAATTTGGCTTCCAAGCCATCACAGATTGACTGCAGCCCTTAAACAACTCTTTAATCTTATCAATGTTTGACTGTAGCTCAATGGTGGATTTAAAGGATAGTATTATGTCTCGACCTCCCCCTTTCCTGACTTCTATCTGCTCTAGCCCTTCCTCTTTCAAAGCTTGAAAAATGCTGAGAGTAATATACTCTGTGTTGAATCTCACTATTGCAGTGTCATAAAGCCAACCATTGCCCTCTTCATTGACTTTTATGATTAACCGTGAGTTCCCATTCTCCATAGGGGGTTCCCCTTTTAATACTTCAGCAAAAGATCTGTGACCCACATAAGCAGCCTTACCTCTGATATGAGTTGTATCTAGTCCTCTTTTGGCTTCCTGAGACTTCCTTCTGTTTTGTTCAGTGCTGCTGCTCCTATCATAGAGAGCAATTTTAACCACAAGCGTCATATTATCCACCAAAAGGCCATTAGCTTTTTGGATGGCAACAGATGCTGCTATACGACAGTCATAGCGTACGAAGTTGAATCTTGAATTTGTCGCCTTTCTTCTTTTAAAAAGGGATGAAGGCATCCTTCACGATTCCGAAATTGGTAAAAAACCTGAACAAAGCTTTGGCATCCAGTGATGAAGGGATATTATCAACAAACACAGTGAAAAAACCTTGTTTCCCTTCTTTACTCTGAGTGCCACCAACTCTCCACTGCCTCACCACCAGAATCCAGCCACCGTTCTTGCCTTGCACCATTACCACCAACTCTCCTCTTCTCAACTTTTTAATCTAGTGTTTAACTTACCTTATTATGTTGGGTGAAGTAGTTGTTAAAGATAGTAATAGCAGTGGAACTATGGATCATATCAATGAGACCATCAAAGCACCTTGCAAGATAGCAATGATCAATCCAAATATGAGAAGAAGCAAATACAACAATGGCATCGCCATTTGATCCACGACGATGACCAGCATGAAATTCACTGTTCCTCACCGTACCCGATTTTCCTCTCTTACAATCATGAATGCTAAACCCATGCATAATCACATTACTAACACCTTGTATTGTAATACAAGGCCCATAAGCAATCTCAACCTTCACTCCCCTCCCATTTATGGTCTTATAACTGTTCATCACGAGTTCATTTTTTAGGGTTATGACCATATCCTTAGCAAATATGATCCAAAGTGGCCTTGTTTGGATCACACGGTATCGGAGGGACCCAAGTTTAGGGTTGATTGGATCGGCGGAGGGGTCAGTGACAACGTACGTGGTACCATACTTGCCTCCGATGGCTGTTGCACCGAAGCCGACTGCACAATCAGCTGGGGCGCGACAGCTGGAATCCCATTTAGGGTTTGTGCGCCAGCATGAGTCTATTAGGTTTAGGGTTTTTTTGGTGGATTTGTATGAAGTGACTGGAATTTTGAAGAAGAGGTTAGGAGAGTGAAAATCAATAGGAGAGAGGCTTGGTAGGCCATGGCTAGGGGAGACAAGGTTTGGGACACTGATATGAGCCTACATGCATGAATATATATATATATATATACATTTTTCCTAATGTATACATTTTTTTTCCAAACTCAAATATAATTAAAAAAAAAAATCAAATATTTATGAAGAAATTTGAAAAACATTCACTAATTTTTCTTTTTATTTTTTTTAAAAAAACACATTTTTATAATTTTTCTTGATAGTCTTGCAAAATTTTTATACAGAATAATGTGTACCTACTTTTTTTTTATATATATTAACAAATACCGTAATAGTATTTTGGGGTATTTTTTTTAAGGTCCCTGATATTATGATTTTATAGTATAAAGGACATCAAATATTTTCATGATGTCTAAGGTCCCTCAACATCAATCTAGAGAAATTTCAGTCCCAAAGAAATTATCTCCGGAGAAAATTGAACTTCTCTCCAGAGGAATTCTCTGGATTCAAACCAGAAAAAATTGAAATTTCTCTGAGTACTAAAGAAATCCAAAGAAAATTGTGAAGAGAAAATTTGTGTATCTATTCAGGAAAATTCTCTCACTGCACAAATTTCTCTGGCTCTTTTCTAATTTTTGCATGCCATTTATAGTGCAAAATGCCAAAACAAAGCATCAGTATCTGTAAACACTACAACTTCATCATGATGAGTGGTACCAGTTATTGCTGAACCATCATCTGCAACAGCTTCCTTGTATTTATGTGGCGTAAGTCCCCCTGCAGTAAATTCTCATCTAGAAAGAGACACAATGAATCACCATTAAAAACAATGCTCTCCTTAACTTCATTCCCCATAATCTCTTGGACATTAAGTGGATCATCCAAGGAACAACCCATGCAAGGACTCCTGTTTAAGACAAAAACATTGGACATAAGCTTCAAGAATTCAAGGAACTTCTCTAACCGAGGAGCCTCCAAAAAATAGATGCATAGAGGTGTTTGGTCCAGGCCATGAATACGAAGCAGTGATAATGGAACAAATTTATGTAGTTCATCTATGGTATCCGTTATTATGAACCTAGAGAAATTTGAATTTTCTCTGGGTTGAGTCCAGAGAAAATTTCAAATTTCTCTGGGTTAAATCCAGAGAAATTTGAGAAATTCTTGGGGCCTCGGCTCATGAGCTGTTGCCTTCGCTTAGCCTTCTCTTGTACAGTCAAGGACTGATCGGACTCAATAGCTCGAATCGCCGTGGTCAGATCCTCGGAGCATGTGCTTGAACCTTTTCATCACCACAGCATGGCCATCCGTGAGCATAGCCTTGTAGGAAGACCCAAAGTTGCCACTTCCCAACACCTCTGCAGAGGCTCTCAGCAAGTCTTGCAAGTCAAACCTCTGTCTGTCGTCCCTCACGAATGGCAACTTTCCATGTTGATCACCCTTCTTAGAGTTGCCACTCACGCTCATATCAGGTGATGACCCATACTATTGTTGCTCCGCAATTACAACTGCAACTGGAACTGGCAAACCCATGGCTTTTAAGGAGGACAAAGATCCAAATTGAGGTGAAAAGGTTTTGCCCTTGAACTTTCCTTCAAATGCCCAACCACACCTCTCATCACCGCCGCCGGACAGGCCACCTCATCACCTCCGTCCATGGCTACGGTAGTTGTGGAGGGATTCAGAACGAGCCAGCGTTCAAGCATGTGGAGGGCGTTAAATCGATCAGAATTAGAGTCTGAAGTAGGTTGGAGCTCGGCTAGGTGGAAGAGTTCTGGAGGCGGTGGTTGTAGGTAAGAATGGCGGTGGGTTTGGGGTGGTAATGGGTCAGATTCCAGCGGTGGTGGTGGTGGTGGTGGTGGTGGTGGGTGAGAGTGGTGTGAGATGGGTGAGTTTGGGAGTGGGAATCTCCACTGGGTAAACCTTTGGGAAGTGTTGGAAGATGAGGAGGACTCAAAGTCGGGTTGTTGGGGTGGTAGTGGGTCAGATGATGAAGATAGTATAAAGGACTGAAATTTCTCTGATATATGTTTAGGGACCTTAGATATCAAAAAATAATTTTGTGGATCTCTTCTATTACGAAAAGTGAGAGAGGAACCCTAGACCAATTTTCCCTAGTATTTCTTACATTATTCTATATATATTTTTATATGCATTTATTATTATTATTATATATCATTACTCTATACACTTGTAGTAGTAGATAGACTAGTAGATAGACAAGGTGGTGAACATGACAAGAGGACTGTTTTCTACGAGAGACGTGGTGGCACGAACTTCGAGTTTGTTTGACTTTATGCAAATTAGAGGTCACAATCTTTATTAGATATGAAAATTTTAATAGCTATTTGTTAGGACTCTTTGTTGTCAAATTCCATGGATCAAAACTGAGGTTGTAATAGGATCTAGTTTTCCAGATTTTTCAATTTTGGTCATCCCGCTCGAGCGGGGAAAGGGACGCTCGAGCAGGGATTGCAAGCTCACAGCATCTCTGCTTCGCCTGAAAAAGTACTGGATGGTCTGGTTCGACGCTCTAGCGTGGGAACTTCCGCTCGAGCGTGAAGCCTATATGAATCACACAATTTTGAAGCCTCCGCTTGAGCGGGAATTATCACGCTCGAGCGGACCGCGCGAACACAGATTCTTGGATTTCTATAAGGAATTGGTTTTCTTTCAAAACTAGGATTACTTTGGATTTCTACAAGTAGTTAGTTTTTCTCCCAAAACTTGTACAAGTCCTCTAAATCTTCTTTTTGGATTCTAAGGTTTATATCTGGAGATATTTTGCTAGTTTTCTTTGATGTTTTCATTGAGTATTCAACTCATGGTTTAAACAGTATACATCAAAGGTTTGTTTGTTCATTCTACACAAGAAAGAGAGTTGTTCTTCGGTGGATTCTGAAGAATTCGAGCCTAAAGCTTTGGTGGATTCCGGAGTGGGTCATCGTTAAGACAATTCCGAGGTAAAGACGAGGTTAGAAGAGACACATAGAGGTTGGTTTAATTCGAGCGTGGATTCGCTAGGTAATTGAGAGTATACTTGTGTAATTCTTTTATATCTTCTTAGTGGATTGTTCTGTAACTGTTGCCCGTGATTTTTTTTTATCACAATTGGAGGTGTCCAATTGTAATTTTTCCACGTAAAATCGTTGTGTCGATTTGTCTTGATTGTTTGATTGTGATTGTTATATACTGTTTAAAATTGATACATAATTACAAATCAACATGTAGGGGATTTCTAGATTTTTCACTATTGATCTTAAAAAATAAATGAAGATATAAAAAACACATAAGTATTGAGAGATGTTTTAGAAATATGATTAAAAGTTAATTTTTGGACTTTTTAAATTTTTTTTATTATATTATCTTAAAAATGATATGACCTAAAATAAATTAAAATTTAATTTTGCCTTGTAACTTAGGTTTCCAAAATAGTTGATAATATATATAATTTGAAGTATATTTCCTCTGAATCAAGTTATTCAATGAAAAAGACTGCATGGTGTTTTAGAACAAAAACCATATATAAATCACAAAACATATCAATTGTAAATTCGAGCGTGGATTCGCTAGGTAATTGAGAGTATACTTGTGTAATTCTTTTATATCTTCTTAGTGGATTGTTTTGTGGCTGTTGCCCGTGATTTTTTTTATCACAATTGGAGGTGTCCAATTGTAATTTTTTCACGTAAAATCGTTGTGTCGATTTGTCTTGATTGTTTGATTGTGATTGTTATATACTGCTTAAAATTGATACATAATCACAAATCAACATGTAGGGGATTTCTAGATTTTTCACTATTGATCTTAAAAAATAAATGAATATATAAAAACACATAAGTATTGAGAGATGTTTTAGAAATATGATTAAAAGTTAATTTTTGGACTTTTTAAATTTTTTTTATTATATTGTCTTAAAAATGATATGACTTAAAATAAATTAAAAATTAATTTTTGCCTTGTAACTTAGGTTTCCAAAATAGTTGATAATATATATAATTTGAAGTATATTTCCTCTGAATCAAGTTATTCAATGAAAAAGACTGCATGGTGTTTTAGAACAAAAACCATATATAAATCACAAAACATATCAATTGTAAGGGAAATTCTATTATACACTCCCTATCCCAATCCTAGATTTCTTAAACTTGGTTTGGCCAAATGTTTTTATTTTATTTTATTTATTTTTTTGAGGTTTTTATGATAATTCAATATTCAACTTGATGATCGATTAATCCAAAAGACTAATCCCACCAATATACCAATAGGAGATGTAAAAATATAGTAAAGTCCCCTATGGATTGGTCCAAATGAGAAGTTTAAAGGTTTTATTTCTTATTACCTATTAAGATGTTAGTTATGACTTTTATATTTTTGTTATATTTATGATATTGTTGTGGTTATGATACAACAAATTTTTTTGTTATATTATGTTTGATTTTTTATTTTAAATATGACTTCTATAAAATTAATTTATGATATTTATATTAATCAACTTTGTAATAATTTACATATGCGACACATTATTACCCTACATTTCCATATTGACATCTTTCCAGAAAGTTATGAGGTATTATTATATAGAGCATCACTATTCAGGTTAAAAACTTAGATTCACTTTCTAAATTTAGTGGTGTCAAAATAATAATTAATTGATAATTAAATATTTTTTAATTATTAATCAATTATTTCCTTAACATATCATTAAATTTAAAAAATAGACTTGTATAATATTTTCTTATTGCATATTAAACACCATTATTTGAATTTAAGCACCACTACCCTATTTAAACTTCGCCAGTCCAAGGTCAAACCTTGGCCGATGAGCTTGTCCTAGACAGGCTAGTAGACCAAGCTATACTCTAAGCTTGATGGACGAGATTCAAGTCCTTTTTTTTTTTTTAATGTACGGCTCGTGGGCCAGGCCGACGATCAGGCCACTTTTCACGGGACAACGAGCCGTGTTTTAACACTTAGGCCAAGGCCTAGCCCACTCAAAATATAGATGTGGACCAAATAAAATGCCAGCAGCCAGCCCATAGGCCTTCGAGTAGAAGATGAAACTTAAGAGTTGTTTTGAAAATTAGTTGGTAAGTATTTTGAAAATTAGTTATTTTAATTAATTTTTTATGAAAAAACGTGTAAAAAAAAGTAGAGTAAAGAACTATTTTTCAAGTCCAATGATGTTGCAATTAATTAAAATATCTCAGACAACACTCCTCATATCTGTTTTAATCATCAACTAATTATATCACTTATACATTATTGGATCTAGAAAATGAATTTAGAAAATGAGTTTGTATACCATTTTTCTTAACTTTTGGATAGTGATGTTTTGAGTCTATTGCTAACTCATTGAACTTTTTGGATGAAGTAGGTGAATATTTTTAACAATATATATATATATATATTTTTAAAGAACAATAAATTATTAAATTGCCAATTGTTACAACAAATTATGTGAGTGATTATTTTATTATTCATATTTTTAACACATTTCCTTACGTGTGAATAGACTCGGCTTCATAAACAAGTCAAACATGTGCAAATTTTAAATTATTTGGTAGACTGTGAAATTTGAACACATGATTTATTATCTACTCTAATATCATGTTAAATAATGGAATACTAACTCATCTGAAACCTAAAGCAAACACTTCTTCTCATGTGTGGCCCCACTTCACATGAAGAGACAAATAGATTCAGAGAAAAAAAAATGCACAAGGATCCTCTAGAATTATTTTGAACACAGAATGGTTAAGAATTCAACTATTCACGTTTACTGAATCAATGATAATCAATGTAACAATTACACACACGAAATTAAAGAATAAATAGACATTGGCAAAGCCTTCCATGTATTGATGGCTTGCCTTTTATTACTGTTACACACGCAACAAGTTCCTAAACCTTAAAAACACAAAAAATTTCAATAGTACTACAAAGTACATTCTAGCTACACAAATGTTCTATGTTATCATATGTTTTTATGCATAGCTACACATTCCATACACACATAAGCTTCCTTTGTCGCACTTGTTGTCGCAACTTCCACAGTGTTTCTTGTTATCGCGCGGGTTCACGCACGCGCCTTTGCAGCAAATCTCCGAGTACTTACACTTCTTCCCACACTTGCCGCAGTTGAGCCTATCGGTCCTGACATCAACACACTTCTTCTTGCAGCAGTCACGCCCCGGGCTGCCCTTTGCATGACAAACCTTAGGGTACTTATCGCATGTCATGTTGACACGTACCATTTTTTGGGCAAGAAACCGATTTGTCCCACGAAGGGAAATTGGCTCTGGGCTTTGGTGTGAAGGAATGTCGTAAGTTTCAGATGTTTGAATGTCTTCTTTGTCGTTGAGGGGTAATTCTTCTTCAGCTGATGTTGGTGTTAATGTCATGGCTAGAGCCATGAGTATAGCAAACATGAACAACATCTTGAGGGACATCATGTTGTGTGTTGT